TAAAGGTGTTGACGTTTACTACAGCAGTTGGGATCACACATCAAGTTACGAAGCAACAGCAGAGCTAACGTCTTCAGTCTTCTGTAATAAGGATAGTAGGTTGATGAACCTGTGTTAATCCTGACACATTGCTTTCCAGTGAAGGTCCAGCTTTTCCTTGAAAGTATTCACTGATGGGGCTGATACCACTTGTTCGGGTAAGGCGTTCCAATGATTGACTACTCGATGAGAAAAACGGGATCCCACTTTAAGTTTATTAGATCGTGGTTTATGAACCTTCTTGCTATGACCTCGGAGATTATTAGTGCTGGAGGGAGCAAAAAGATAAGACATATTAACACCCAAATCATAATTAAAGATACGAAATGCCAGTATAAGGTCACCTCGTGTCCTACGATACGACAAGGGGAAAAGATTTAGGCGTTTTAAGCGCTCATCGTAAGGGAGTCTAGAAAGACCCTTCACTAATTTCGTTCCCACACGCTGGACACGCTCAAGGGAGTTAGTATCCTTTACTAGACACGGGCTAGCTGCTTGGATACAGTACTCTAAATGTGGTCTAACATATATGGGATATAAAATTCGAAACGTTTCCTCGTCAAAAGATTTGAACGCTCGGCGAAGTGACCATAACGCACGAAAACCTTTGACAGCGGCTGCTTTGCAATGCGCAGTTGTTTTTAAGTCATGACTTAATATTACTCCTAAGTCCTTATGCTCTTGAACGCATGGAAGAGGTTTACCCTCAATAGTGTAACGGTAACTATTACCGTGACCGACGTGCATTAGTACACTCTTCCTAGCATTGATTTCTAAGCCCCACTCTCGAGCCCATCTAACTAAATCGTCTAAATCAGCTTGAAGATCCACATGATCAGCCGCACTTTTTATTGTTCTCCAGATTTTTACATCATCTGCAAACAATAATGTCGACGACCTAAGTAACAGTGGTAACTCATTAACGTAGAGAAGGAAGAGCAGAGGGCCTAAGATGGTGCCTTGGGGTACACCACTTTTGACCGGCTTCCAATCGGATAGCGTTCCATTGACCCTAACTCTCTGTCTGCGGTCACATAAGAAATTTCCTATCCACTCATGTACAGTACCTATTATTCCGAAGCTCGTGAGCTTCTGCATAAGACCTACGTGTGAAACCTTGTCAAACGCTTTGCTAAAATCTATGAATATCACGTCGACAGACAGACCGTGATCTAGGGCTGCTGTCCAATCCTCCCTCGCAATAAGCAAGTTAGTCAAGCATGAACGCTTGTTACGAAATCCGTGTTGCTCAGGAGCTAACAGATTGTGTAAATCTATGTGGCTTAGCAACCTAACCCGAATTATCTTTTCGAGTAACTTAACGACTATGCTAGTTAGACTGACAGGCCGGTAGTTAGATACTATCTGTCGCTGACCGTCCTTAAATATAGGACTAACTATAGCGTCCTTCCAATCTCTAGGGAGTTGGGCGAGTGAGAGGGACATGTTGAAGAGTGTCGCAAGCGGTTTTGAAATAATGTCCGCAAGAGATGACAGCAACCGTGGATGTAACCCGTCAGGGCCCGGTATCTTACCAGGTTTGAGGTTAGTTATCAACGGAAGGACAGTTTCCTCAGTCACCTGTACGGATTCAATGGTTGGTATCTCGGTGTGAGTGGGACAAGTATTTGTTACAATAAACGTAGAGAAGACTTCGCTAAAATAATCTGAAAAAGTCTCAGCTTTTGCTCGATCTGATTCAGCTAGTAATTCTGAATTTTCGTGTAACAGCAACGGGGGAATACCATCACTACGTTTCATTTGCCGTTTAACATACGAAAACAATCGTTTCGGACAAGTACGGCTATCATATACTAACTGTCGTTCGTAAGTGGTACGGGATTTCGCTATGGTTTTCTTACAGATATTACGGTATTTTTGATACTCACGCTTAAATGGTGCATGACCTGTCAACAAGAATAAGTCCCAGAAATGTTTCCTACGCTTTAACAGCTTCCGGGTTTCCTTATTAATCCATGGAGGGCAATGTGATAGCTTACGTGCTGACCATGGGATAAACGGCGACGTTACGGACTCGAATGTAGCCTTAAACTTATTCCATTCATCTTCGATCAATCCATCCGCGTCGACCGACCAATCGGTCGAGATAGCACGGTTTCTGATTTCCGGAATATTAGCTCGCCAGATATTGGGACGGGGTGGAGCAGATACGAATTGTATACCATGTGTCCTAAACTTAAAGTGAATTACAACGTGATCACTGTTCACTAGTGGAGGAAGGTGCTGGATATCAAAGACATCCTCAGAGTGGTGGGTGAGGGCGAGGTCCAGCAGTGACGGAACATGATGCAAATCAATATGTGTCGGTTTTGTGATACATTGTACAAGTGCACACTGAATAACGGTAGATAAAAGGTCGCTATCGAAACCACTACCTGGAGCTGTAAGCTCTATCCAGTTGATATGCGGTGCGTTGAAGTCCCCAATGATGAGACAACATTCTGCCATACTCCAAGAACAGATGTGTCTTAGGATAAAGTCGTCAGCCAGACAAGACGGACTACGGTATATTCCCCCTATAGTCACTAACCCATTTCTAGATTTAATCTTACAACATGCAACCTCACATGTGCCACTGATATGAGCCTCCGATATGGTTGATTGTATACGAAAGTGATCCCTAACGTAAAATATTATACCTCCCCCTTGCGACTTGAAACTCTATCACTTCTGATACAGATATAACCAGCAATGAAAGGAGAACAGTCTATATCAACGGTGAACCAAGTTTCTGTAACAACGATTATATCGGGACATAATTCTTGCACCATCAGACTTAGCTCGGACGTTTTATTTCTAAGACTACGAGCGTTCGTGTAGCACACACTTAAGGTGTTTTGGAAATCAATCGTTCTACCCATACAGGCCTCGGAAGCATTGGCTTCCAAGACCTGACTACCCGAAAACCCTTAATGGTAAGGTTATTTTCGCCATTTAATTTGCGAGTCCTCAACTCCGTAAGAGCATTCTTCCACTTGATTCGATCCTCAAGCGGCCAATCTGGTCGAATACGGATATTTGAGGCACGAGTTTTTAGTGCGCTTTTCAATAATATGTCTCTTTCTTCGAAACTCCCGAGAACCAGCTTCAGGATCCTTCTTGGTTGGGTCTCGCCTCCAACCCATTTACCAAGTCGTATTACTTTTGTAATATGTACCCCTGAAACCTCTTCAGGTAGTACATTCCTTACCACAGACTCCACTAACTGTAGGTCATGTGCGTGTCTTTTAGCAGGGTCGTTGTCTTTCGACTCCTCTAGATTCCAAATAATTAAACTAGGGATGGGTTTAGCTTCTTTTGAAACTGTGTTCACAGCTTTCGACCGTGACGTTAGATCCTGTATTTTAACTACTGGTAGCTTACGATTAGTTTTTATTTTAACAGAGTCCTGGGAGTCAAGCGAATGACTCACAACAATGTCAGACGAAGCTTTACTATGAGACTTTGGCGGATTGGTCTGAGAGTCCACCAAGGACTTACCAAGTAAACAGTCATTAGTTTTAGCTATCTTTCCTACTCTTCTGCGTTTTCGCGTCATCCATTTTCCATCAGTCGAAACGTCTACATTAGAACAACTCGGGACAGTAATTGTTTTATCTGGGTCACCGGTTGCTGCTGTAGCAATATGGCCACCAACGTCTAATGACGTGTCACTCACTGATCGTTTCGGGGGAGAACGTTTAACTGTGGGTTGCACAGGTAGATGTCTGGCTTGCGCCGTGATAGCACTTACGACACTAACGCAATCTTCGCCATCCGTACCAATGTTATCAGTACAGCCCTCATCAACCTTCTTATTAGCCAACACCAGGAGACTAATTGCTTCCTGGATAAGCAATGTTTTGCTCGAGCAACAAAAACTACAAAGCCAATGAGAGTTGGGCTTTGAACACCTTTTATATGCAGTGGGGCTTAGTCGGGTGCACATCTTATGGAACCACTTATTACACTCATCACATTGCATCCCTTCATCCACGGGAAATAAGCAGTATGGTTGTCCACATTTATGAGTAGACCTAGCCATCTTGAAAATCAACTAGAACGGTGACGAAAACAGGATATGTAGAAGGATTTTCAAACCTTAACTAAATAAACCAAGTAAAAGTCGACCAAGTATGCTTCGATGCAATAAATACACAGAAGCAAAATCGAAAAACTCAATACAATATCACTTTAACTGGGGTAGATGCAATTAAAGTGTAAACAGTAGTTTTGATGCGTAATTTACGATCAAAACAGTTAATTAACTCAACGAGAAAGAATACCACTGTCCTTTTTAAATAAAACGTGTATACTACGAAACAGAGAATGGTAAATTAATGCTCTTAGCAGTCATTTTGTGCTTTTTTATGTAGCATAAGATGAATTAAATATCTAAAAACTTAATACTCACACGGCCCAACACACCCACGGCAATTGAAATACGGAATGACTGCCTCTAGTTAGGCCGTTCAAACGAAACAGCGGACAGATTTGAAGGGGATTGCCGTTTCTGGTGATTAATATCATCATCTACATCCTAAACGCAAGTATCTGACTCTGACGAACTGCGTTTACGTCCATATGTACAGACATATCTCATGAAAAAGTACTTTGGAGTTGGATAATCACTGTTCTTTTTGCATACTGACATAACGTACTTAGTATGCGTATACCAAAAAAATAATTATTAACCAAAGAGGTCATATTACCATATGTACTTCTTTTAAACAGGTCTCAAAATTGTCCCAACTTGTAAATCTTCGAGATAACATAATATAATTGAAGATTCGTCCTATATCATGCATCATCACCATGGCATCGTCTTCGTTACTTGAAGAACGGACGTTATCAGACATGGTGTGGCTGAACTCAATTCAAACCTGAAACTGTCTTGATTTGACCGCTTATGAAAATTTTCATGAATTGTCGATGTGACGCACCAATCATCTTGCGAGAGTTTGACCTTCAAGTGCTCGCAACCTACGTCAGTGGACGATACCCCTGAAGCGTTGCCTTTTCCCCGTGCCGTCGTTTGAACGTAAGTGCTTCTTGATTATCTTAATGTCCTCTGACTAGTATTAGTGTCATTAAGTTTTCTACTTTGCAGGGTGTTTTTTTTCTCATCCCCTAATTCAATTGCTAATCAACAGACACTTTTAGTAAGCGTTCAGTTTATGGTATCCTATATGGCCCATACAACGCTGCCACATTTATCAAGCTGCTCTGGGCATTATTCTTTTTGAGATGTATTTTGTTGTGACTGAATCCAGTTAACTGAAAATGGAAATTAAGGCGAACATATAGGAAATAAATTGACAGTTCTCTAAGAAAATAGGAGAAAAATTGAAGGAAAATGCGCCTTAAATTCTTCTTTGTCGCCTGCATTGGTAGACTAGTGAGACATAAACATTTCTGTCCCTCTAGGTGCGAATTGTTGCTAAATTTACGACTTATGATCTATTTTTCTCGTACGTCTACTCAAAGTCTACTCACAGTTATACACTCTCAGCCCAAAATATCTTCTACGTTTATACCTGGCTAAAGACTTTTATTTACAGGAAACGAAATCGTGGTCTGCCAAGAGCTTATGGAAATCCAGTTGCTTGCCACATCGTTGTTGCAAGTTCAATGCTTGATTGTCATCGACAAAGGCCTATAAAAAACCCATGGTTAGTGGGTAATGCGTTTTTTTCTACTAGGGACGTGTCCTGATTTTCAACTCAAGATATAATTACACCTAATTTGTTTCAACGTACCACATTTAAGTGCGAAAGTATACTTAGATAATTTTGGTGTTTTTTTAGAAAACCAGGTTTAAAATAAAGAAAATCTTTTAAATTAACGCTGTTTTAGAACTTCAGTGTTCCTCTCCAGAAACAAAATAATCTTCCTGTAAATTATGAAGCAAAATAATGTTTAGCTTAAACATTTTTGATACCAACACATGACAACGTATGGTGAGACATGGTAGTTTGTTAACACTGCACCTATAGAACATCAGTCTGAGTTTATCATTTCAGATCATTACTTACATTATCTCTCCTCCTACGATGCTCTTGGAGTTCATCTCATGTCGTAGGAGTAACCTTCCGTTGCTATAGAATTCAAATCTCCCAGGTCTTTCTGCAACAGTTGACGATAAGAAGTTTTGTGTTAGTGCTCATAATTAGTAAGAATTAAAAAGCATCGTATGCTGCTATGAAACTTGGACTTCTGGAGTACTCTTTCTCATGTGCCAAGTAATGCAAAGTGGTTGACCACTTCAGGTTTCATAACATGACAAAATATAGTTCATGGAAGTTTTTGGATTACCATCCCTTATTCATGCCACGATGACCATTTGAAATTTCATGTAATAATCAAATGAATTTAGTTGACTTACAAGTTTGTCTTTCATGCATTCTTGCTGAAGACATGCTTCCAACTTTCATAGTTTATTTTCAAATGGCAGAGAAATACAAACTGGATAGTACAATATTAAGTTTCTGTGAATTGTCACGCTCATCAGACAAACTAAGACATAAGCTGCATAACGCTGGTATTGAAATCTGACAGTGATGACAAGATATGGTGCAGAACAACATGTAGTTTCGCGAATCCCAAACATATGCCTAAACTGCAAATGTTAGCCGCAAACTCATTGCCAACAGGAGTTGACGCGGACCTTGATAGCAACGTCTCTACTTGAGTAGTATTCATCTATGAACGTTTATAACTAAAATGTACTCTGCCAGTGGTGATACTCGACTGTCCAGAAACCTGAGCTTCGGATAATGCACATGACTTTCCAGCCTAGATTTCGACCATGTTCATGTCAGGTGAACTGTACAAATACCCTGGTTTCCATTTCGAAGCCCCTCTGCCAATGATTAATAGGATTTGTGTGCTTACCTCTTAGGTTTCCATGTATTTATTTGGAGTGTTTTTTCTTCATTTAAAATATTGGCATGGTACCCAGCTAACTTGCTGAACAAGATCAATGATTCCTTTATAGTCTTCGAATCGTCCGTGGGGAATGAACTTGTGTATTTTACTCACCATATTAGTGGATAGCCTCACACCTGATAAGTGACCCAAATGCCCTGGTACAGCCGAGAGTGGGGAGAGTCCGCTCTCCCTCTCGAAATGCTCTCACACGGCCACGCGTATATAGCCTCTGCCAGGGAAGTCCTACTCACTGCCTTCTCGTGGCGGGGGTGTTGTTTACGAAAAATGAGAGGACGAAAAGCGAATGTCTGGCGCTTTAACTGGATCCCAAATCAATGGTGCACATGGGCTCCAGTATCCTGCGGGGACGAATGGCGTATGGACCAATTTTCGGTCACCGGCTACCATGGGACTGCATCTCCTTACGATGCTTCACTGCCTTGTGGGTTAGACCTTTAGGTCAAAGGCTCGGGGAGTGGCCCCCTAAGAAAACCACCTGCTTCGGTCTGGGCACCCGGGCAGTATCACAGCCCACACGTAAATGATGAACTCTCTATATCTATGGAAACTACATTTCTCGATCCGAATAACAGTCAAATGATCCAAATTATTATTATTATTATTTACTACATCATTATTCACCCTCTTTTATTCCTACTCCGTCTATACTTATTTTTTCGGTTTATACAGCAGCTCGTCTTTGGTGGAAATTCGACTCTATCTAAACGTTCTCGAGTCACTGTTCGGTTGAAAAATGTATTTTACCACCGAATATGAGTACTGAAGCAGTTTTTCTGAAACCACGTGCACCATTCAAACTGGCTGTCTTCAACGTTCGCACACTTATGCAGGTCGGAAAACAGATAGGGTTGGCTATGTCTTTGGAAAGTCTTAATATTGATGTTTGCTGTCTATCCGAGACCCGTATTCAAGACTCTGGTGAAGTACTACAAATTCGATCTCCATCTGTCGCTTCGAAAAGCTTGTTTTACGTGCGCTTATCCGGGGACCCTGTGGCATCTTCGTCTGGTCTTGCTGGCGTTGGTGTCGCACTAAGCGTTAGAGCTGAGGCAGCACTAATCGATTGGATCCCCATTAACAGTCGGCTGTGTGCTGTTAGATTAGAAAGTTCCATCAAAGTAAGAAGAAATCGGCGTGAGAAACGATGTCTTTTCGTCATCTCCGCCTATGTCCTGACAGATTGCAGCCCGGATGCAATCAAGGATGAGTTTTACCACCAGTTATCTGTTCTTCTCCAGAAAGTGCGTTCGACAGATATTGTAGTACTAGCCGGAGACTTGAATGCTCAGGTTGGGCGTCTAGGCACAGAAGAGAGTCGTTTAGGTGGCTGATGGGGACTTGTTGGTCGCAGGACAGATAACGGGGACCGTCTACTGCAACTATGCACAGACCACAACCTGTTTCTGGCTAGCACTAACTTTCGGCACAGTCATCGCCGATGTGCCACCTGGCGTCCTCCCTCTGCATCTCAAGCGTGGACTCAAATTGATCACATCGCGATCAGCTACCGCTGGCGTGGTTGTGTACAGAACTGCCGCTCCGTTTCGAGTACCTATCTGGACTCTGATCATGCTTTGGTCTGCGCCAATCTTACCTTACTTTTCAGTGGCCAACGAAGTGACCGCCATCAACGGATTGATATTAGCAAGCTGGTTGCAACTTCTGTTGCAAGTAAGTATCGAACCGAGCTAGCCTCTAGGCTAGCTACCATTCCACTGAAAAGTATAGATGAACATTGGTTGCAATTGCATGACGCCATGAAAATGGCGGGTACAGTCAGTTGTGGGATCGCGAAACGTCCCGCTTTTAAGCACTGGGTTTCTTCTGGTTCCTTACAACTCATTGAAGCCCGTCGGTCTACTCCGGGTGACCGTGAGTTTGACCACAAACGAAGGCTGTTACGTAATGAAATCGGGCAAGCTTGCGTAAGGACCGAAAAGCCTTGTGGTCGGAGCGTGCTAATGAGCTGGAAGGAGCAGTTGCATCTTGTAACTATCGGAAGCTCTTCCAACTCATCCGAGCCACTGGCAGCAAGAAGTCTGGTGTGAGCGAAACAATTTATGAGGATGACGGGACGACAATCACTAACATCCATCGACGTCTTGGACGATGGGCAGAATTTTTTGAAGGGCAGTTCAACAGGCCTGTTGCTCCGGCAACATCGGTCAGACTGTCCTGCCCTCCATGGCTGGTGACGACTGATCCACCAAACGAGGAGGAAGTCCGCAAGGAACTCCAACTCTTGAAGCGTTACAAATCACCTGGCCCAGATGACTTACCTCCGGCTCTTTTTAAAGATGGTGGTGACTTTCTGACTAAGGGATTGACGACGTTGTTTACAAAGGTTTGGGTGTTAGAGAGTGTACCAACATCATGGAATGAGTCGATAGTTGTCCTTATCTTTAAAAAGGGTTCACGTCGTTCCTGTAACAACTATCGGGGGATAAGTCTACTTCCGATTGCGTCCAAGCTATTGGCTTCCGTCATACTTCGTAGGTTGTTCAAAACCCGAGACAGATTGACTCGCGAGGAGCAGGCTGGGTTTACCCGACCGTTGTTGCTACCTTGACGTGGTGGTCGGGCTTGCTTATCGTGATGAAGCGACCGAGCTATATTGGCTGGAACAACCGTTCCTCAAGGTCCTACCATGTCAGACAGGTCGGTTGAAGAGCGGTAAGACTAAAAGCAACAAACCCAAGGTCCGAAGGCGAAGTCGTACTGCTGACTGTACAGAGGTGTGACAGCAGTAAGGTGTTTCCTTCAGACAACCAGCATGACAGCGATGCTGCCTTCCCACAAGGAGGGGTGGGGTTAGAAAAGGTCGACCCTAAAAATGCACACCTCACCTTACCTCACGGATTTCCGTCTCCGGCGGTAAGGCCCTTTGAAGAACGGAGCTAACACGTCAAAAACCTCCCACGAAAAGGCCGTGCGCGACCGGCCTCAAGCAGTTGTCCCTTGGGCACTGCGGTCACGCTCTCAGGTCACTGAGACCGCCTCTAATCCAATTTCCTTTTCAGGTACCTCCAGAAGAACCCTTCCACGGTGTGGGCAACCGGGAAGTGATAACCGCCCTCATACCTCTAACAGCACCCAAGACCACTGTATTCATAATCAACCTTCCTCTTCAATTCCTATTATTCCTCCTACATCGACTTTCAACTCTAAACTTCCTCTTCGGCTTCCTCCTCAAGTGTCACCATAGCCAACGATTCTAGTGCTCAAAACTCTGTCCCAGGTCTACTGAAACCTCGCTCCAAACTACACATTGGAGCCTTCAACGTACGCACCCTATGTCAAATCGGTCAGCAGGCTTCCTTGGCTAAAACCCTAGAGTCTCTTTCCATTGATGTATGCTGTGTCTCCGAAACACGCATACAGGATCCCAGTGTGGTCATTCACTTGACCTCACCTCGGCAAACGGAGAGCCAACGAGATACACCCTTCGTGTATCTGGTGACCCGATGGCCAGTTCTCGTGGACTGGCAGGTGTAGGCATAGCACTAAGCATGAGGGCGAACAAGCACTGCTAGAGTGGATCCCCGTCAACAGTCGTCTATGTGCTGTTCGGCTAAACGGCTCCGTAAGAACTCGGAAGGATAGGGACACACGTCGTTGCCTTTTTTCGTTTCTGCCTACGCTCCCACTGACTGCAGCTCAGATGAAGTGAAAGATGAATTTTACAGAAAGCTTCTGAACTTCTTCAGAAAGCTAAACGCTC